AACCTGGGCACATTTCCAGCAGCTTCTACAGATGTAAGCACTACATACTGTAAACTCCGATGAACTCCAGAAATGATATATTTATACCTGTGTGGGTACAACTGGCCATCTATAGTCTGATTCCTGAGCTATAGGAGGAAGAATGATAAAGGTGGGTGTGGTCTGCCCAAATATGGTTAAAATTAGAACAAATTTTAGATAAACTGGGGTGGCTTAGTTTTTGCATTTTGAATCGTTTTAAGGGATACATAAATGACAACATATTTGACATTTACAGGGAAAAAAATGAACTTGTATTATTTATTTTTTTACCTTTCTAAAACTCCAACTGGTATGGGAACCTGTATCTAAAACTACATTTTTCATTAGAAATTTTGATTCTTGCAGATGGTGTGCAGTTCCTCTTTTTTCTGAACACTTGAAACAAGAATATTTTATAGGGATTTAAGGGCCTTAAAACTTAAGCTTGGACTTATCCTGTAAGTGGTTGTTCAATATTTGATCACATTTCATCATGTTCCAAAGCTTATTTAAAATCTTTCAGCAATATTACATCTGCTTATACATTGTATTTCCGTTGATTTAAAAGAATTGCATTTTTAATTTTTGTATAAATTCTCATCTTTCACTTCTTCATATACTTTTTCTCTGGTATTTGATTCCTTTATTTATTTTTATTACCTAAAGGCTAACTAAAATATGCAATATGAACACTGTGTACCTGTGCCATCTGTTTGCTTTTAGAAGCATTCTTTGGGAAAAAAGATGTAATTATTAGGAAACAGTTTCTGTCTGGCAATATCTTGCTTGCACTGAAGTTCAACAGCACCTCCCCCTCTGTATACATGAAATCAGCCCCTCTAACTCAATTTCCCACAACTCCCTGGTTTCCTGGACATATCCAGGGAATACAAGTTCCTCAGTATACGTCCCTCAGCAGCTCAGAGAACGTACTTGATGGGGCAGGGGTATCCTGGCAAGAGATCTGAAGCCAAGTGAGCACTCTTCCACTGTCAAAAGTGGGATAAGGGCATCCGGGACAGAGCCTTATAGCATGCAGCTCCTCCAGAAGGCCCAGCTAGTGTAAGGAACTTCTCCCTGATTGCTAACTATGTGCTCTTGTTCCAGTAGGGTAGGGCTTCATCCTCATCCTTGGATCCCTCCAGCTGTTCATCTATGTAGCTGTGCTAAACTCAATGACCTCCAGAAGCACAATCATGAGGTGGGGGAGCACCCTTGCTCTTGAACCCATTACTACCTGGCATCGGCATTATTTTGCAGTGTATGTATGCTCTTCTTCATTCTGTCCCTGTTTTGCATTATTGATTCTTGCACCTGTTTAGCAAACTGAAAATGTTATAGTTAGTCAGATCATTCATCATTCAATTTAGGGTCTTTTCACACGGGTGTTCCATTTGTCCGACTTTCATCTGTCCATTTACAGATGAAAAACAGACACCCATGTATTTCTATGGACTTGCGGATTGTCAGGGTCCTGTCCACGGCAGAAGTTCTGGAAGATCTGGCATTTCTGCCAGTACTCTACATGGCCGCAGAGGTACACATCAGCCTCAGTCTGGTGCCAGACAGCCTTTATAAGGAGGCTCGTCACTTCCTCTGGTTGCTGGATGATCTCTAGCTCCCCGTGCCCTGTTCCTGGTTCCTGTTTCCTGTGATTCTGACTTGTGATTTCCTGTTACCGACTCGGCTTGCTCCTGGACCTGTCTACTCTGATTTACCCCTGATCTGACCTCGGCTTGGCTTACGGATACTCTCTCTCTCGCTTCTCTGTGAATGACCTCGGCTTTCCCATCTGATTACGTCTGCTCCGATTCCCACCTGGTACCTGACCTTGGCTTGAACCGACTACCCAGTAAACATCCAAATCCCGGAAGGGCTTGCACACCACGCACAGGCGCCTCCTGTCTGCAGACCTATCTCCATGCACCAGCTGTGCTTCTGAGTGGACCACCAACCAGCACTCCTACAGGCGATCTGTGCACCTTTTGGCCTGACTCCCGCTGTCCCACTCTCAGGGGAGTCCAGAACTTAGCCGCAAGGGAAGCCCTCTCTCCATTGGGCCTCCATCACCAGGTATGTGATACGGATGTAAACGGATGAACATCTGTTTACATCCGTTAATATCCACATCCGTTATAACCTCTGTAATTTTTTTCCCATCTGTGTCCCATGTAGGAAATGTACCTTCACTTAATGTCCCATAGCCAAACAGGAAGTGAGATAACATCACAGCAATTGAAGGGACTTCCTTGTGGACCCCCTTGTCACCAAAACTAGTTTCCACATTGATAAAGTAATACCCACTTTTATGGGGACTGGGCAAAATGCCCTGGATCTATCTCTTTCACTGTCAATGATTATGGGAAACATGACCACTACAGAGGGTCAGGGACACAGACCACAATAAAAAGCTTACAGGTGTTCAGGTCCATTTCCAGTCTATCCAAAAATGTACAAAAAGTTTTGCCTTTGGTTACACCTTATAGTGACAGTTCTGAGGTGAAACAGAGGATGAGATAGTCTGCTACATGTTGTACCTGTTTATTTGCATTATTCTCTTCTCGGGTATCAGCTGATACTCGGGGATGTGACAATGCCTCCAGCAAGTTGTACCTGTTTATCTGCAGTATTGTTTTTCTGCATTTGTTTTAAGTGAGTGGTTTGTGAAGCACATACTTTATTTCTTAAATAAAACATGTTGTGGTAATTATATTGACAGTAATAAAAAAGGTTGATCACCTGCAAATGTGCAATAATTTTAATTTATTTTTGTAAATCTGTAGTGCAGAAATAACAGTTTGAACAGAAGGATGTGATGGTGATTAGGTCAGTAATTAGCAATGTTGGGACTATTTACATACTGCAATAGAACTTCACTGTCAGGGGACATGAAATAGTCCGCAAATGTGTCAAGCAGTGCAAGATCGGTGTTATTTGGTCACATTCCAGAATAACGGACAGAGGGCAAATGTGTCTCATCTTCCTCTTCCATACTGATGTCTTCCTTCTCACAGATCATGTTATGATCACAACATGCTTAGATCACACATTTAGCATTCTCCAGGCTAAGTTGTATGGCACTGTGGAAAATGCGCCATTTGCTGGTCAAGATTCCAAATGTGCATTCAATTAGCCACCTAGCTCTATTGAGTCAATAGTTAAAAAATCTTCTTGGCATTAAGATTGTGCCTGGCATATGGCCTGAGAAGATGCCTTGACAGTGCAAAAGTCTCATCAGCCACGAGGACATGAGGCATTTCAGGTTCATCAGTTCCACGCATGATTTGTCAGCAGCTAGATTCAGTCGGCCCTCTAGAAGTCTTCTCCCCATTCTGCATGCCCTAAACACTCAGGGGTCAGTTGTGCTGTCGTATGTCCCGATGTCCACTGCAACAAATTTGTAAATACTGTCACAGATTGCCATGAGGACCAACGAGAAATATTTCTTGTGATTAAAATACCTGGAGCCTGATCCAGGAGGCATTTGAATGCGCACATGTTTGCCATCCAGGGCTCCAACGCAGTTTGGGAATTGAGCCTTCTGCACAAATCCATTTGAGATTTCCTCCCATATATGAGTATCAGTAACTGGTATCATAGTTGGACCTAGCTCCTCCCATATTGCCTGGCAAGTGTCATTGACAATGGTTGATATACCAAGTAGAAAGTAGTGATTTAAGGACGTGAATGTCTGACCCGATTAAAGAAACCTAGGAGGAGTAATAGGCAGGACATTAGGAATGCTTTAACAGAATGATATACGTTCACGAGATATAGAACATTCCAAACCAGGCCGTTCTTCGCTATTATGCTAAGACTACACAACGCCAACCCCCCAAAAAAAAAGAACAAAGGAAATTCAAATAAGGAGAGCTGTGAAGGAGACTAGGGTGCAAGTAATGGGGACTGTGAAGATGACTGGGGTGCAAGTAAGTGGGGCTCTGAAGGGGACTGGGGTGCAATTAAGGGGGGCTGTGAAGGGGATTGGGGTGTAAAGAAGGGGGACTGTGAAGGGAACTGAGGTGCAAGTATGGGGGGCTGTGAAGGAGAATGTGATGCAAGTAAGGGTGAATCTGTAAAAGGAACTGGGATGACTGGATACAAGGAAAGGGACTGTGAAGGGGACTGGGTTGCAAGTAAGGGGGAGGCTGTAAAGGGGACTGGGATGCAAGTAAGGGGGGCTGTAAAGGAGACTGAGGTACAAGGAAGGGGAGCATGTGAAGGGTACTGGGGTGCAAGTAAGGGGGCGGGCTGTAAAAGAGACTGGGGTACAAATAAAGGGGCTGTGAAAGAGACTGGGATGCAAGAAAGGGGGAAGCTGTAAAGGAGACTTGGGTGCAAGTAAGGGGGAACCTGTGAAGGGGACTGAGGTGTATGTAAGGGGGGCTGTGAAGGGAACTGAGGTGCAAGAAAGGGGGGAGCCATGAAGGGGACTGGGATACAAGTAAGGGGGGGCTGTGAAGGGGACTAGGGTGCAAGGAAGGGGGGCTGTGATGTGAAGTGGTGACAGAAGACACGGATGTAAAGGGAAGGGGACTGCGACATGAGGTGGGGACTGAGGACACTGATGTAAAAGGGGGGGGCTGTGATGTTAAGGGGGGGCAGAGGACATTGAAGTAAAGGAGGGGCTGTGATGTTAAGGGGGGCTTTATTGCAAAGGGGGGGGGGATGCTGCACCTGCAGACAGTGTAGAAATCCATTGTACTTACATTTCAGTCTCTCTATGGCCCTGGTGCCCAACCTATAGCCCACTGGCCACATGCAGCTTTTTGGCATTTCTTGTGTGTTCCTTGGGGCCGTGCAGATACTAATCTGTGTTTCCCTGTTGCCTTGTCATAGTAGTGACTTCTAGCTTCTAGTCTTTTGTAATGTTTCTCAAGTCTATGCCAGTCTCCTGAATCATGTCCACAGTCTCCAAAAACTCCTAAAACACTTCCACAGTCTCTAACACCTCCTATAGCATGTTCACAGTCTCGGACCATCTTTTGTATCATGTCTGCAATCTCTGACCCTCTCTTGTATCATGTCCACAGTCTCTGACCAGCTCATGTAACATTTCTACAGTCTCTGGTCAGTACCTGTATCATGACATTACCTGCATCATATGAGGCCTCCATATCAATGTAACACTCTGCTACAAGTGTTTGTATCAAGGTCCTACCTTTCCTCAGGGCTTGTGCTGCTCCATGTGCTGGCATCCATCTTAGGTCTGCAAAGCATTGTGGGATCCTTTATGCTTTCAGCCCTCTGCGGCTCCTCCCAGGAGGTGGTGGCTTATCACATTTAAGTCTGCTGTTTGTAGCTGTCCATTGCATTCGTGTCCTGTCTGTTGCACAGCAGCAAGCTCCTGTTCAGTTAATGCATTGCTCTCCTGGATGCCGACTCGGCTTTGGTAAAGACTCTTCCTGGCTTCTGACCCCGGCTCTGGCGACCATTCTTCCTGGCTTCTGACCCCGGCTCTGGCGACCATTCTTCCTGGCTTCTGACCCCGGCTTTGGCTACGATTCCCGCTGGTTCTCGACATGATTACCCTGAAAGACGACCTCGGCAGGAGAACTTCTGTCCTACCAAGTCATCTGCTGTTGCTGTCGGACTTGCATAGACTCTTGCCTTGTTTCTGTGTAAATAAACCTACCTTTAATTGCACCTCCTTGTGTGTCTGGCTCCTCGCTCCCTGACAGTTTGATGCAGGATGTTAAAGCAAACAAATAATGGCAGTGTCCTGCAGAACAGTGACATTCACACTCTGTATGGACTTTATTAAGGAGCAGTGTATCTAAGAACTACATTTCCCAGAGAAGCTGGTGTGTGGATCGATATATATATATATATATACACACACACACACACACACACACAAAAGCCCAGGAGACTGGAGGGGGAGTGAGAGGGAAGAGATCTGGAGAGAGGAGTGTGCTGACTGCCGGAGGGCCGGACCAGGTCGCGAAAAGACTGAGAAGAGAGGCAAGGAGAATCTGCTGATCGCTGACCTTACCGCATTGTCTAGAAAACTAATCTGCCAGCAGGTGACTGGATGGGATGCTGCAGGTGGGACTGGAGGGTGCTTGGAGGCTGAATCAGAGGAGAGAGAAAGACTGCCAGAATTCGTCAGATGCCCTCTCTTGGGTGAGTGAGTCCCAAGCATTACCAAGGAAAGGGAACACTGACACAGTTATTACCAATACTTCTTTCACCCGCTATTACTTGACTTCACTCAACACAGCCTTATCATCAGAATTAATAGCAGGACAGCCATTCCACAGGCAGAACCACAGCTGTGTCACCACCATCATTAACTTACTCTTTTAAAGATGCCTTCTCCCATTGCACCAATAGTCTTGCAGTCTAGAGAAAAGCTATTCTGTCTCAACAATCACTTCTTCCAGCTTAACACCTCACTGCTTTAGATCTACTAGTGACTAGTGCTTTAAGGGGTATTACACAAATCAATGGCTGCTTTCAAAGGGGAATGTTGTTCTTCCTTTGCTTTATTGCATTGTTCTTCAGAGATGCATTATTCACACTTTCTCCTATTGTGCACCAACTGCATTTAAGAGAACATTGGTTGTTTGGTGTAAAGAGCCATTTTCTTATTTCAGGCTAACTCTCTGCTATCAGGTCCTGAGGGCCCGAAGCGAGCTAGTCTACCTGTTTTATAGATCTCGCTGCTCACTGGGGAATGTAAAACCACCCCAGATTGAAGGTATCAGGCTAGTTTCTGAAAAAGCAGGCCTGCTAACATTAACTCAGACTCTGTGATGAGAGTTGCTTTTCCTTAATTTAAGCCGACACAAGTAACAACTGACTTTGCAAATGCTAATTCTGTTTATGCTTTGTAACCAAGCTATATTGAAACATGCTATAAACCTTTTACCAGTTTACTTCAATCAGTGTGTGAGCTTACATTCTGGTGGTGATTTATCCCAGTTAAGACTGTACTGTGGTGTCAGCATGGGTTAGGCTTTCAGAGTGGGTCCAGAACAACAGGGAGCCCAAAAATAATCCAGCAACTCTTGGGAGGAGTGCTATATCAAGAAAATTACCACCATTGCTTTATATAAGGTCTATCTGGGCGGCACAGTGGCTAAATGGTTAGCACTTCTGCCTGGTAGTACTAGGGTTGCTGGTTTGAATCCCAACCACAGCACCACCTGCCTTGCATGTTCTCCCTGTGCCTGTGTGGGTTTCCTCCAGGTACTCTGGTTTCCTCCAAAGACATGCTGGTAGGTTAATTGGATCCTGTCTAAAATTGGCCCATGAATGTAAGTTAGGGACCTTAGATTGTACACCCCTTGAGGGTTAGGGACTGATGTGAATGTACAATATATGTAAAGCACTGCGTAGATTGACGGCGCTATATAAGTATCTGAAATAAATAAATAAATCACTCTGTGACTTACCAATGTAAAAATGCATCACAATCACACACAACTTAATCCTCATTTGCTGCCTTTAAGTTTTTCTGGCTTGCCAGTTTCAAACACCCATCTCTCTCAATCCTTCCACTGTCTTTCACCCTGGGACCTACCACTGTAGATCTGTCTATCACTGTCTCACACTCATCAGTCTCCTTCTTCTGCCTCTTTTCTTGTGACCTGTCAGATCAGGGCACTAAACTAAGAAATTAGTGGTGCAGGGAAGACCCAAAAAAAGTTTTCTTGTCCTTCTGAGAGGACCCCATCACCAGACATCCAATAGGATGTATCTACATCACACTGATAGTGATGTGTACAGACCTGAGGAAGGACCTGTGCCCTTTAGAGATTGGAAGAAAGACTTAGGACTGGAGCATTACATGACCATGGCCTTAGACTAGTAAAAAGGCCATTTAAAAAAAAATTGTAAAGATTAGTTGGAGTTGGATGAATTGGGATAGGGGGAGCTCGGAGATAAACTTTAACACAAAATGGGATAAGGCACAGGCTGCTGAACAGAGTTTTAATACCGTATTTTTCGCTCCATAAGACGCACTTTTTTCCCCCAAATAATGGGGGAAAATGTCTGTGTCGTGTCTGTGCCATGTTAGAATACCGGGACGGCTGCTCGGCTCTACTGTGCAGAAGAACCCGCTCCCGGGTCCTACCTGTTCCTCGGTCCAGTGGTGTCCTGCTTTTACCGGCCGTCTTCTCTCCCTCGTGCCGGCATCTTCAGTGTGGGCACCCGAACTGTGACAGCTTGCGGCTTCACAGCCGAGTCCCCACTGCGCATGCGTGAGAAGTGCTGTGCTTTGTGAATGACCCCGTAGTCTTCTGGGACCTGTCAAGTGTCCCACAAGACTACAGGGAGGGAGGGGGGAGAACAACTCAGCGGAAGTGGGAGGTGTCCGCAGTCTCTGGTCATCTCCTGTACTATGTCCGCAGTCTCTGGTCATCTCCTGTATTGTGTACGCAGTCTCTGGTCATCTCCTGTAGTATGTCCGCAGTCTCTGGTCATCTCCTGTACTATGTCCGCAGTCTCTGGTCATCTCCTGTAATATGTCCGCAGTCTCTGGTCATCTCCTGTACTGTGTCTGCAGTCTCTGGTCATCTCCTGTACTACTTCCGCAGTCTCTGGTCATCTCCTGTACTTTGTTCGCAGTCTCCGGTCATCTCCTGTACTGTGTCCGCAGTCTCTGGTCATCTCCTGTACTATGTCTGCAGTCTCTGGTCATCTCCTGTACTGTGTCCACAGTCTCTGGTCATCTCCTGAAGTATGTCTGCAGTCTCTGGCCATCTCCTGAAGTATGTCCGCAGTCTCTGGTTATCTCCTGTAGTATTTTCACAGTTTCTGGTAATCTCCTGTAGTATGTCCGTAGTCTCTGGTCATCTCCTGTAGTATGTCTGCAGTCTCTGGTCATCTCCTGTAGTACATCCGCAGTCTCTGGTTATCTCCTGTAGTATGTCTGCAGTCTCTGGTCATCTCCTGTACTGTGTCCGCAGTCTCTGGTCATCTCCTGTACTGTGTCCCGCAGTCTCTGGTCATCTCCTGTACTCTGTCTGCTGTCTCTGGTCATCTCCTGTAGTGTGTCCGCAGTCTCTGGTCATCTCCTGTACTGTGTCCGCAGTCTCTGGTCATCTCCTGTACTGTGTCCGCAGTCTCTGGTCATCTCCTGTACTGTGTCCGCAGTCTCTAGTCATCTCCTGTAGTATGTCCGCAATCTCTCGTCATCTCCTGTAGTACGTCCGCAGTCTCTGGTCATCTTCTGTAGTATGTCCGCAGTCTCTGGTCATCTCCTGTAGTATGTCTGCAGTCTCTGGTCATCTCCTGTACTATGTGTGCAGTCCATTGGTTCAGAATATTTCTTTCTTGTTTTCCTTCTCTAAAATCTAAGTGTGTCTTATGGTCAGGTACGTCTTATGAAGCGAAAAATACGATACTTGTTTTCACTCTAGAAAATATAAATATATTGTGTGCTCCCAGCTCCCGATTGGCCAGACACCTCATCTGGTGGAAAAGACCCCCTAGGCTGTTTGGCTGTAACAGAATAACTTCATAAAGTTACATTTGTCAGTTTGGAATGATAATTTTATGAAGTTGAAATGGCATATTATCTAAGATATTAAAGCTGAACTCCGGAATAAGTAAATGTTGTCTAGGTTTAAGAGATGTGTATTCTTACTTGAATCTTGGTGTGTTTTTTATAGTTCTTCCAGATATGTGCAGTAATCCCAAGTGAAAGTTTGCCTCTGTGCATGAGCTTCCTGTAATTAAGACCAGTCACTGCCTCTGTCTCTCTTTGGGCAAGGTGACCTTCTTCTGTAGTTTTGTGAAGGTGGTTGTAAAGGGAAAAGCTGCTGAGGACCTCCCACAGCTCTGATCTCTGCCAAGAATATGTATAGCAAAGTGTGGTCCACAAACTGGCTATACAGTATACCATGTGGTAGAGGTACCTGAAACATAAGATTGGTTGAACAGAATCACAAAACCTTTGGTGATAACACCATTCAAATATATGTATTTTAATTGTATGTATGCATTTCAATAGTGTATATATTAGATTGCATGGAGTTGCAGCTTTAAGAGCTGCTATCATGTTTCTCTAATAAATTACTTTAATAAAATATTTTATATGTGTTGAGCACAGATCACATGGGGCTATGTGCTGAAATGACTGGCAAAAAAGAGGAAGCACAAGCATAAAAATAGGGCCAAAACCCAAACCACATGCTGTTTGAGCTAACTACAAGCCATTAATCACAAATTAGAATGTGTATGAAGGTTTGCATTTGCTTTAACAAATGTGTCCTTTTCTTTAAACATTGTTCTCCAGTCATTTTAGCACAGAACGCTTTGATATCTGGACTCAAATTCTTCTTGACAAGCTTATTAAGTTTGATTTGTTGATGTTACAAAAATAAGTAAAAAAATTGAAGCACTTATATTAATAAGGGAGAAGAACAGCTTCAGCCTCGCGCTCTGATTTTATTCATTAAGTGGAAATAAATTAGAGAAAACAAGCATGCAGTCAAAATAGCTAAACCATTTTAATGCATGAAGGTTTTGTGCTAATTTAAATTAACATTTAACTACTATATTAGGCTGCATGGAGTGGACATACTAATAGGCAGCTTGTTGGAATAAATGAATTCTTTTTTTTTTTCTTCTTTTTTCTACAATACAGGGTAATGGTTTGTGCCATTAATAATTGAGCCAAACAATCTGACTGGCACGTGGATATCTGAAATTCAAATAAGAGCTGGGTATTGTGTTTGAAAGTAAAAAGAGTTCAAACTCCAGCTGAACCTTCAGTTCTAATTAGCCAAATACATTTCAGGTGCATCAGAACAAAAGATGTACAAAGTCCTACTGATTGTGGGTAGGTGCAGCATGGTGCTGTGGAAGAAAACATACCGAGTCCAATTGCAATTAACAAGAGTTGTATTGAAGAAATGGCCCAATTGTACAAACAACCCAGCAGGAAGGCACAAAGCTATGAAACACTCACGGTTCTAGGCAACTTGTAGTATAGAGCAAGTTCTGATGCACTTACAGCATCTGTTTCCAAAAAGCAGAATGCAGCCTGGCCAGTCTAAGCCTAAAGGGGAGGATTCCAATGCAGGATGGTGTGTCTCTAACCTGTTCCTACTCATCCGGAACCTTTCCCTACCACTACTCATTTTCCTTGACAGGCGGGTGCTCTAGGGTTGTCACCCTAGGGTGCTCTGTCCCTATGCTGTCTACTCGCAAAAATGAGAGCTAAATCCTGGGACCAGGCACTTAAAGTGTAACTAAACTCAGGACCCTACATTCACTTTATCTGGTCTCCTGCAGTACACAGAACATGGAAATGCAATTATTTTAGTAAATATAAATTGCTAAATACCTTTTCTCATCAGCAGTTAGAGCAGTCTTGTGGTTTCTATCAGTGTCCAGCAGAGCTCTAGTTAAAGCTTATAGGAGGAGTTTTCATTCTCCCCTGATTATCCTATGAGGCTGCATACCCCTGTATGTCTGGACAGCGCTGATTGGCCCTGTGCTGATGACATGCACTCTCCCAAGAAAAAAAACTCTCTAGCAATACATATCAAACTGAGCATGTTCAGTTTGCCCTGCAGGCTCACATTGTATCAGCAGATGTAATGGGGACATTATAAGAAGGTAAGGATCAGAGAAGACAGGTTCAAACATCCTTTTTACACAATGCAGAGGATTAACCCCTTAGGTTTCACAGTGAGTATAACAAGCATGCTTTACTGCATATACAGACTGAGTTTACTGTTGTGAGTTTAGTAACACTTTAAAATATAAAGTATGAGGCATAGCCAACCAAAGCACAGCCTCAGGGGGCCAAGGAAACAATAGAGAAACCAAGTTTCTCTCGACTTCCTCTCCGGCAGCAGTACCATTCCGGTTAAGTGCCACCTACAGTGGAGAACTGAGACTGCATCTGCCTACATGCCCCCCCTTTGACAGATGCTATCATCAGTATCAAAATACAATAAGAACAACATGAAAACTGCAAAAAGGCAATGGTTAAGGCAAAACAATGGGAACAAGTTCAAACAACATAGTCAGAGTATCATGCAGGAAGCGGTTGGATTGCAAAAGGTGATGATTCACAGGGCCATCTGTAGATGGCAAAGCTCATCTTCTGGCAGTAACTTTGGGGCTGCTGGTAGTAGGGGGTTGCCTGTAGTCCCAATACCCTCCCCACCAGGGTCAAAGACTGTGTCTCCAGGCACATCTGAACAGTCTTCTGTACTGGAAGGAATTACTGGATCTTCCATAGCTCTGGAATTCTATGTTTTTGAGTCGATGGAGGCTGGGGGCTCGAGCAAGAGAGGAGGCTGGAACTATTAGGTGGGGGCCTCTTGTATAAGTAAAAGATCCACCAGGTTAAAAGCCTCCTTGTCACCAGGAGGCTTCAACATGTTACAGTGAAGACGCATCCTCACAGTGTTGGGCCCCTCGGACCAAGTCATATACTCGTGTAGGTGGGAAAGGCTGCTCCTCCACCTGATATGGGGTATGCTCCCACTTGAGCTTCAAATTACTGGCCCTGGTGCTCTTGGTATTTTTCAACACCGGTCTCCCAGTCACAATGGTAGTTCTTTTAGGGTAGAGTCAGGTGTCAGTTTTTTTTGCCTGTCTAACACCAGCTGCTTGGCTCTTTGCATCCAGTCCCAGTGTTCCTGCACCCAAGAACTAAGCGTACAGGGCAGAGAGTATTCTGGGAATTCTGGGGATTCCAAACGAAGGTCCAGTTACAGTATAAAGCCCAAACATAAGAAAGAAGGGTGTGTGTTTCACAGGTTCTAGAGCGCTACCGCAAAATGAGTGAGACTCTCATCCTCCTGTTGCTTCTGCTCCTGTCCTCCCACTTAGCCATTGGAGAACATAGGTACTAGAGCCAGGGCCGACCCTAACAGTGCCATGATGGCGTTTGTTCCTTCTTCCATACCTGCTGCAAGAAGGGGCATATCCTGCCGACTGCTGCCAAGTTTGGGTAGGTGCAGAATGGTGCAGTTGCAATTAGCAAGACTTGTATTGAAGAAATGGCTTAAATGTACAAATAACCCACTGGGAAGACAGCAAGCTTGGTAACATTCACAGTTGAGCACAACATGTGGTATAGAGCATGTTCTAATGCTTACAGGTTTGATTTCCTTAAGAACAGGTACAAAAACCTGTCTTCTTCCAGAATGCTGTAAAGGACCCATTCTCTCTTTAAGTGAAAGCAGTGGTCTCTGTGCAGAAGTTCAACATGTCCCCTACTGAGTTGAACCTTTAGCTCTACAACCAACAACGCTCATGGTCTCAACTAATTTGAGAGCTCTGACTCAGCAGGGGGCATGTCAGACCTCTGCAAACAGATGACTGCTTCTCTGCAGGGAGCAAGGGTCCCACTCTGCAGCTACTGACAGCAGACAGACTTTTCTAATCAGGTTGTGGCTGCTTTAGAAAAAAACAAACTGGATGCACACCCTTTGTATTAATGTACCTGGAATGTATTTGGCTGATCTGAACTGTAGGTTCAGTTGAGCTTTAAAGACAAATTTTTGAGGCTACAATTAAAATGTCTTGACAATAAAACATATTTATGAACTAGCAAGACCCAAAATGCCTCCAACTCCCACCCCTGTCCCCAACCTTTTGAGCACATTTTTGGTCTAGAACATAAATCTCTGTAAATAAATGTATTATTTTAAATACCAAAAGTATTAAAAAATATTTTTTATCCAACTTCAGAAATTACAGATTCATTTCTTAACAATATCAAGGAAAATTAGAGATAGAAAACTGCAGTTGTTTCATTTAACCATTTATTATGCATGAATTCTTGTAGGTGTGTACTTGTTGCCTACATGCTTTGTGTTAAAAGGTGTCAATTTTTCAGAAAATTGAGTGGCATGATACATGCATACTATAGATGCTAGTACAGTGGTTAGACACCCTTAGCATTTTTAGATTAAAGTGGAAGAACAGCCTAACACTTGCTACTCTTAAAAACTTAATCTTCCACCTCCTCCTACTGTGTACTTACTTATTTTAGATCAGCTCTGGTCTGGTCACATCATCCAGCAGCTCTAGATGACCCTGTGCCAGTAAGTGACTGCTGCAGGGCAGAGTAGGGGCACCACCAACGTCTGGGCCATGGAAGATGCAAAATCATGTGACTGGACAGGAATAAAAAGAGGTATGTACACAGATCTTTTTTACACAGGGAAGGTGGTGGG